TTCCGCATATATTAATGTATACTAACTGTATGAATCGGAGTAACGGTTCCTAACAGAGACTTTAGCCGACCCTACAATAGTTTCGGCATGTATGCATATACAGTGTAAACTCTTTCATTTCCCTTCGTTATACGGAACAAAGAGAAAAAAGACCAAATTTAACCAATAACAATAATTTCTTATTTTATAAAATAAAATAAAAAAATAAATAAAGTTTATTATGGAACATAAGATACATGTATCACTTATTCCACGTCATTAAATTTGAATTTGTAGGCATCCCTACTCATCGGCAAAGAAGACAGAGGGTGTAGGCCGAGAGAAAAAGCCGGCGTAAAAAACTCTTTTAAAATAGCAAATCATCAAACAACACTTATTTTAAAACAAATATCGCAAATATTATTATAACTATCAATAGGTTAATTATTCTAAACACATATTCTGTTAACTTTGGCTGACGTGTTTTGCTATGACAGGCAATGTAATCTAAGAATAATGGCACACGTGTTAATGCAATTAACAATAACAAAGGCAAGACAGTTGTTAATGACCTCAGGTGTCTTTCTTAGAAATTTAGGCACCTGAATAGGTTAGTCTTGTAAGCTCATTATAAAATCTTAATGAATGGCTGTTGCGTTATAAAGAGTGCATTAGTGCATTTGAGTGGTTTTGTGTTAAACCAAACAAATTTAACTCAATGTCGCGTTATAGATAGTTTTTCGTAATAACGAATGACGTTATAAAGAGTTTACACTGTACATAAAATCTCTATAATTCAAACGTTCTTTTGTTAAGTTCATACACTCACCAAGCTTCTCATACAATAGGCCCAACACCACAAATAAAACATCTATTCATAAATTAAGCCAAAAGATAGGTGTTTTCAATAAATGGAGGAAATGTGGGTTTTCCATAGAAATAAGCTGAGTGTCTTAAATAATAATTCTTACATCAACACCCGGCATGACAGTTGTTTCGCTAAAATGTTGTGACATCATTGCTAAGCTTCTTCTAAATCTGAAGACATTAAATGAGCCTGGAACAAATAGTTTAGTTATATACGTATAATAGAACATCTTTTGACAGTATTTATTAAGATCGAAGATAATCTATGGATATGCGATACTCTATGGTGTATCGTGATTACGTTTTGGCGGAAGCGGGAATGAGACTTCCATGGGCGACGGGGGCGGGGAGGAGAAACGGTGTATTTTGGGAATTGGATTAATATGAACGATTTTAGTTTTGCGTTTGTTTGTGTTGATATCGTCTTAATATTCTTCCTTCCTTTAATATAATCATATAATCAAAGACTCGTTATTTTATATTGTCTATGTGGCGCCACGAATCACTTACAAAGGGCGAGAGGTATTAACTGAGCGTCGTTCCACAACGGAGCGTTTTTTTAGACAGATTTTTCCGCACCACTATGAGGAACCAGCTGCCCACTGAAGTATTTCTGAACCAATTTAACTTACGGTCCTTTAAGAAAAAAAGCGTACCAATTCTTAAAAGCCCTATGGCATTGAGAGTGTCGATGGGCGACGATATCACTTAACATCAGGTGATCCTCCTGCCCGATTGCCCCCTGTGCTATAAAAAAAATTTCTTTGTTAAAAACCGTTGGTTAATAAATATTTTATTAATACAATTTGTCTTTGAATATCTTTTACTTATTTTAATGGGTTTAAACCTCAACTTCAACTGTCATGTTGTACTATTTCTTCTGTGTATGCTTTTCTCGCTAAATTGTTAAATTTTTGCTTAGAAAATTAGCTTGCTAACTGCATGGTTCCTGGGTCATCGGGGTGCTTTAAATAATAGAGGATTTTAGTTTTACTCTATATTAACAACTCGCGTACAACAATATATTATAAGCGAAATAGTTAAATGTTAATTGCTATGTAACGAATGAATGCAATGTAACAGTTGAAGAGAGTGCCTACGTCTGGCTATACTCTCGGGGCGTAACACCGACGATTTAGGAAATCGCCACGTTTATAAAACTTAGAAAGCCTGAGTGAGTAAATGTACAAACTTGACTAGGTACACTAACAATTTTAGGTTATATAAAAACTTAACAGAGCAAACGTGATATTGTAGACTATACGAAATACTGTTTTTATCGTTCTTTTATTACTGCTCAACATTTAATTTACGTTTATTCAATGATGGTTAGTTTTCCATGATATCCTTTTATTAAATATGTATAGTATAAAGTGTATAGAAAAAGTAAAAAACTCACCGTCCATACTATCCGGTGGCAGATTTCTCTCGTACTTCGCTGGAAAACTTATTGATCTGCAACAAACCCGCGAGCGTCAATTATTTTTAATGAAAACGTAATCGACACTCGCTTTGTGTATTTATTTTAAGCTTTTATATTTAAAAAGATTTACTTAAATTAGACTAAAAGGCGCAAAACAGCTTTTTAAGGCACTTTCTTCCGCGCACCACCTCTTGGGAAGCAGCTGCCAAGAGAGCATTTCTGAACCAATATATATATATACCAGTTCTATTTCCCTAAAGACCGGGAACCTTTAGGCGTTGTAAGTCTCCATAGCCTGATGATTTTCCACGAGTAAATTTTTCTTAATTACCTAAACGATTTCATGGACTGACTGTGTGTGTGTTTTAATTTCTTCAGTGTCTCATTATTACAAGTTTTTTCTGAAACTACAAAATAACTCCTAAAGTTACTTAGATTTTAAATTTATCAAAGCAGGTTTAATAACACTATTCTATTACTCAAGCTCCTTCTTTGATACCAATATTGGGGAAGTGAAAAAAAAAATTAGTTGGCGGACATATTGGATTTTCATTTTATGTTCATAGAGACTTATATTTTGCTAATCAATGAATGGGTCATTTGATACCTATATCGAGGAAGTAGTGATGAAATATGAAATCCGCCATTTTGTTGCGGCGGCCATCTTGGATTTACAATAACACTGATTTTATTAAGTTACTTTGTCATCATAACTAAAGGTGTGTACCAAATTTCAGATCAAGTCGTCAACAGGAGATTTGACTCTTGATTTGACTGAAGAGGTCAAATCGAACTAATTAAAAATATGTCTGACGGGGTTGCTTGTAGATTTGCTTAAAAACAAGTTTTACCATTATTGGACGACTCATTTTGATGTTATATATTTTAAATCGACTTTAAAAAAGTCAATGTAATGAATTAAAACGTTTGAGGTGGTGTGTGTTCTGTGTACTACACGACAATAGACCCATATTTTTTTTAAATTATTTATTTCGGTATATATCAACCTAATCCTTGGTAATACACCACAAGTATTATCAATTCTTAGTAATAAAATAATTTATTGCTAACAGAGACTAATAGAATTTAGCAGTAATTGAAAACATCAGCTTTATTGTATATTACAATCAGGAAAAAGGCCGGAAAGTTATATGGCATAATTTTCCAAGATCAGGAAAAATTCACAGAATATATAAAAAACATATTATATACAAAATGAAACATCAATAGATCTAATAATTTCGAGAGTCTATCAAATATTCAATGAAGCATGTGTTTATCTCGAGTTGATTGAAGTTAAAGGCGCCTTTGAAGTTGAATGGAGAGAAACTTATAAATATAAATGTAAGAATTTATTAGGTGCTCTCTGAATTCGTATTCGCCTCGACAAATAATTTACCCGTGAATTTGTATAATCTTTTTTTGTACGAACAGAAGTCAATCTGAATATTAATTTTAAAACAATTATAACAGCGAACCTGGATTCGTGAAACATCTACAGAACTCCAACATCACCGATGGTCGCGAAACGCGGACTCCAAAATTGCACTGCCAGCAGTTAGCCTGCTTAGACACAAAGCGACTTCTAAGCCTCAACAGAACAAATCTCAAAACAATGATAGTTACAATTACGAGCCAGTGCCTCCTTAATAAACATCTCTTTGTCCTATTTGCGACAGACAGTCCCTTGTGCAGCTTGTTTCAGCGCAGGGGAATCAGACACCGTGGCTGTGGCTTCCCAATGAACAAAAATCCTCGAAGCTCGTCGCTCCAGAAGCCTGCGGAGTGGCCAGGAGATTTCTGTGCTTCTAGGAGCTTGGCTGGCTTAGTTAGCCAGGTCTTTACTCACAACGGACCTTATGCGCGTCTCAGTGAGGAAAATGAGTCCATCATATACTACAATACAAATATAATGAACAACAGGACTGTTTTTTAGTTAATAGTTTCCGGGTGTTTCAAAACTAACAAGTTTCAAGACCAACATCCTGAACTTTACCTTAAATAGATATTTTTTTTTTACTAAATTTGATGAAAATCAAACCTTTACATAAACATTATCGAAAGTAACAAAGCCTGAACCTTTTCTTGAGAATTTTTCTTTCTCTTTACTAATATATAACGATGCGGCAACATTGTTATAATTTACCTCATTATCGTACCTATACGAAGACCAAATTAGTTTTGTCAAAAGGCTTGAAGTAGCACATGGTAAGGGTTGAGTCAGGGTTGTCAATACTGTTAGCGGACTAACGCCATCTTGTAGCAGAAACCTGTATAACGCGAAGCAATACCGGCGTTGACTCACTTTTATTTCGAGACTTCGTGCGGAACGGACGTGTTACTAACTGTTACTACCCTCAGTAAATTTTAAAAGTGTAAAGTACCTACCTACACGTTCTAATCTTTTGTGTTACTAATATCAGAAGTGGTATTTGAACTTTTCGCTCACTTCTCTTTTGTTTTGTTTTGAGTAATCTTTGTAGTTTAAATTTTCCTTCTCTTTGTGTCCGTAATGTACGAAGTCACGAGTGATTAACATTTTAAAAGTGCTCTTTGTGTTTTCTGTTATTGTGCTTTTGTGTTACCGCTTTTGGTGTTCAGTGATAAGAGCAAAATGGATCGCTTATCTCGGCCAAGGTCACGCATAGGGGACGTATGTTCGAGTTGACGGGCTTCACTTCTTGGATGCAGCTGCTAGGAGTACGCACAGCTTTATTATATCACTCCTGAAATGCATCGCGAAAATGGACAAGTGGAGCGCTATACCCGTACTCTACTAAACATGCTTCGCACTGCCGTCAATCATCGGAAGAGCGAATGGGCTAAAGAACTGTGGCAATTGCAATTTATTCTGAACCTGACGAAACAGAAGACCACACAGACTTCTGCCCTGAATCATTTGATTGGTCATGACAGTGCAACGCCGGTGATTCGAACCTTGGTGCGAGATGTCGCATTAAATTTAGGATCTTCTAGTCAGCAAGGTAGACGAGAGATGCTTCGATAGAGGACGGCCGAACGGTTGAAGGATAGTCAAATCAATCAGGACACTGTTGTTAATGAGAAAATTCCAGAAGGATGATCTGGTCTTTGTTATTAAGTACGTGCAATTAAAGGGTGAACTGGACTCCGGCATGCGTGGGCCTTACAAGGTTATTCGCGCGTTTGTGTTTGTGTTTGCGAATGTGTTTAGACCACTTAGAGAGCAAGCAAAGGTATTGGTCTCTGTTTTAAATTTTTGTGGTGCTAATGTGTTTAGACCACTTAGAGAACATGCAAAATGTATGGGTCTCGGTTTTAAAAAAATTGTCGCTTATGAGAGCACTAGGAGCCACTGTCGTTACGACGGTGTATTGCAAATATACTGAGTTTTATCTGTATTCGTGTTAAGTCTGAAGCTATCTAATTCTGTAATATTTCCTTTTTGATACACCTTACCTATGTGCGCTTGAGTGCACGCTTGCGCACATGGTACTGGTAATGGAGAAATAGAGATAAATGTCATTATTCGTCCCTACAATCCAAGATATACGCTTCAGGCTATGGCACGAGGCTAGGTAGATTACTACAAGTTCCCTTACAGAGACTGCGCTAGACAATGATGAGCAGGTTGCAAGTGATGCTGCGGTCCGGACGCCGCACTGTCAGAAACGGCCGTCTTAGAAAAAAATCCCCACCCAGCAAGCCGGACCAAGTGAGAGGTTATAAAAAAAGGAGTGGAACAGCGGATTGGGGGATGGTGTTTACCCTTATGTACCTGCTTTTGGGGAAGGAGGTACGCTGTATGTGCCCACTTTTGAAATAAGGGGAACTCTGGAATGTGCTTGCCTTTGAAGGAAGAGGTACTCTGTGTGTGCCTGCTTCTGGAGAAGGCAGTACCCTGTATGTGCCTGCTTTCGGAGAAGAGGGCACCCTGTGTGTGCTCGCTTTCAAAGATAGAGGTACCTTGTGAAGCCTTTCCGCTTATCGGCGAGCCGTTGGGGCAGTACACATTGTGAGTGTGTACTCCCCGACGTGGAATGCTTTTCGCTTTGCGAAATGCCACTGGAGGAGTACATGGCCTTTATTGTAGAAACCATTGACAGCGATGACGAGTACTTGAGATGCGATTCAGAGAGGGAGGGAGCAGGAAAGGCCATAAAGCCCAAAACTCACGATCTTTCTGTATAAATGGTAAAAAGATCAATGGACAGGGTAACCAGCCCCAAACTCACGATCTTCCTTTATGAATGGTAAAAAGATCAATGGACAGGGTAACCAGCCCCAAACTCACGATCTTCTTAAAAAAATAGTAGACCTTTATACATTAAGGTGACACTAAACTTGTAATTGTTTAGTCCTTTTACACCTGCCAGTGACAGTTTGTTTGAAATCTTGTAAGGGTTATAAATAATCTTTCACTCTTTCCTTGGTGTCCAATACCTTAAAGTTCCTTTCTATCTTTCATTACTTTGATTGTTTGTATTAAACCAAGTAAATATGTTCAGCTGCTGACCAAATAGACGACGCAATACCTTCCCAGAACTGTAATGTTCTATCGTTCTATTCTACCCAAAGAGATGACAGTATAGACGCTGGGACATCAAATCCTGACGAGGACGTCAGGGTGTCAGAAGAGGCCGTGTTAGCGGACTAACGCCATCTTGTAGCAGAAACCTATATAACGCGAAGCAATACCGGCGTTGACTCACTTTTATTTCGAGACTTCGTGCGGAACGGACGTGTTACTAACTGTTACTACCCTCAGTAAATTTTAAAAGTGTAAAGTACCTACCTACACGTTCTAATCTTTTGTGTTACTAATAATACATTAAAAATAATAAAGCGTATTTTTTCTTAGTACTTTATATGTACTCCAATATACTATACCAAATATATATTACATATGTTTAAGTAGATTGTAAGATAATAGTAGGTTAACAGGTTTAATTTGTCTCTTGCAAAGTTCTGCTGTAAAGTTCAATTTGCTAATACTAGTTCATAATACCTCAATTTGTTAGTACAAAGTTTATCTGATAAAGTTATTGGATCAACAAGTTCAAAACCGAAAACTAATATTTTTGGTAACCCTACCTCGAACACCTCATGCGATTTTATGGGACCGATAAACAAACTTCACATACCCTTCTAGATAAACGTACTGATTTCAGTGTTTGTTCTCTGTATACGTGAATTTTCCCCATTTTCGGCCAATTTAATTATTTTTAAATACTACAGCTAAACGCGTTCAAATGAGTACCCCAAAAGAAAGTGCAATAGATTCAAATATGTATCTAAAAAACTTATTAAAACAAATGTTTAATTCATAATAAAAGATTCAAAAATGTGTTAAATACTTATTAAAATAAATGTCTAAATCATAAATAAAAGGTAGAAAAACTTATTAACAATTGTCTATATCGTAAATAAAGGGTTTAAAAAGGTGTCTAAAAACTTATTAAAATAAATTAATTTATTTAGAACTTAAAGTACAAACATGGGCCCAATAAATCAAAAAATTTATCAAAAATACTAAATGATGCTAACAGTAAAATCACTGATAACTTATATTAAAATATATATCAGTAAAATATATATTAAAAGCGATTATAGGAAATAAACGAAAAATATAGTATCTATGTTCTATGACGCAATTCACACAATATGTCTAAAAGCGGATCTCAGAAGGGGCACGTATGCATGACCCTGAAGCCGGGTATAACTGTAAAACAAACTTTTACCCGTTCGTGTGATATAGGAATAACATCGTTGAAAACGTCTTATGTTTTAAGGAATCAAATTTGAATACAGCAAATAGTAGGGGTACGATAGTTGCCTAAGAGTTTATGGCTACAATAAACAATCCTCATACACTCATGCAGAAGATAAATGTACTGTTACACCTGTTTCACGTATACTAAACTTATAAGAACCCTGGTTTCGTATTCCAGCTATTTCAACTAAGTTTTTACAATCAAAAAATCCATTAAACATTTTAAATTTAGAATCTTAAATACAATTTATATACAGTAATTCTTAAATTCTCAAAACATTCTAAAGTTTCATCGTAACACTAAATTGCAAACATAATTATCGGTTTCAGTAGGTACTTGAAAATAATTTATTTAATTTGAGTAGACTTCAATTTATTGTGTTTTTGTGTATGTTAAGATAGCTCTGCCGTTAGTGGACCAACCTGGATTATGAAGGTGTCAAATTATTCGGATTTGCAGTGAATTGGTAATGTAATCATCTTCAAACTATGTACAAAATAATTGATTTGCCTTTGGAAGCACAACTAACAATAATAGACTCGACATCGACTTCGAAACAAAAGCCAAATATGATCTTTACTCCCCGTTAATCACAAATTAATTATCGTTTAATAAATTTAATATCTTGATAATGAAATAATGTGTAAGTGCATTTTGAATTTTATTATTAGCATGATACGCTAGCAAACAGTTATTGTTTTTAAAGTTGAAATTGTTTACAGATAATTAATTTAATAAGTATTGGTGTTGTACTTACGGAACAACGGCTCTTAAAAAGTAAAAACACTTATATTCTTAATATTACCACTTTTATCAAACACTGTCTTGTCTAATACAAAAACAAGTTTCAAACAAAACATCATCTTAAAATAATTTTACTTAATTGATCAATACAGGTGATTTAGACTATAACGTTGTTCAAATATGAATATGCATGCGTCTGTGCGTGGGACTTGATCTTGAAGTATACTGATCGTTATATATTCATAACTATTATCTATAGATGAAAGTATATATACGTATTCTACGGGAGGCTTTAAACTCAACCCCTGCAGAGTTATAATTTAGTTTGCGTTGTTATAAGAATATCGCTATTTTTACAATTCTTATTAAAATTCGATAAAATTTACACCTGTATCTTTTTCATAATTTTCACTAATTTCACTAGATGAGTCCTTGCGTTAGACATGCTATTTATGGTTGTTTATTAGGTGTCTTGAAGATGATATTAAGTTTTACGAAAAAATTTTTACTCAAATCAGAACTTTTTACTTACTTCGGACCCCACTGTGAAAAAATTTCTCTACCGAAAAGTGACCCTATATTACAAAATTTGGCGCCATTAGGGATTTCGAAAAGAACGAAAAAACAAAACAACGATTTGCGTTCGATCCACGAATTTTTGGCCAACCTGTATAATTATATAAGTTTTAGGTAAACAAATCAAATTAAGTCCACTCTCACATAGTAACTGGGGTCTGGTACATTCCTTGGTAATCCGGCTGTTTAAGTCTTCGAATTTTTCTTTTCAGAACGAAAATAGAAAAAAGATATGGTGGAATGCACGAAATCAACGTTTGCACTAATATTGCTCTTAGAGGTCTGGCGTCATCTATCATTTATCATACTCAAGATAAATTTTATCAGTTAAAACTACTGAATGGATCTATAGCCCTTATCAAAATCTCTATAAAAACTACCGATAAGCATATTGTACCACTGACGTCATTTGGCAGTGTTCTTGGCACGGCTGCCAACTGGTGTAGATTCGATTCCGTTCGAGTGTAATTTATTGAATCAATGCTGTAGCCTATTTATTGCTTGTTACGTGGCCTGCGGAAAATCGGCCAAATATGGCGATTTTCTGGCGAACGATTCACCTAATGTTTACGAGTATTGCTAACCGCAGTTTAAACTTTAGCGATCAAATAACGTGGCATAAAAAGCTGAATAAAATCAATTAAACAGAACTAAAAAAAAGAAATGGGGAATGGAACAGAACGATTCCCATTCACCTTAATTGTAATAGTACAGTTTTAATAAATTAGATCGTGTTGGAATTTCAGAAAAAACTTGCCCATAAAGAGTAGTGGTTTCTGAAACATGCTACTGGATGGACACAACGAAACCTAGTCCTCATTTCCATAATAAGGAGGAGTTTTAACACAATATTGAATAGTACAGTTAGATCGTGTTTGATAATACCAAATTATATCTTAAAATTCTCGGTTTGGATTTTCAGAAAAAATTTTCCCAAAAAGATTAGTGGTTCGTGGAATATATCTGCTACTATATGGGACACAATGAAACCTTTCCTACAAAACCTCATTACTACCTTCGTCAATATATTGTCACCGCGTCTTCAAAATGCTACAAAGTAAGCAAAACTTTGCGCTAAGTTGCTGAAATTAAACAAAGAACTTCGCAACAAAGTTAGATACATTTTACTCACTTGAATGGACGTTTGCGTAGGATGTTAATTATGCTGTCTCTCTCGAGAGTTAGTCAAAGTAATTTTATTACCGTTTATCCAATTTAAATAATAAAGAATAGTATTGTTATCCTTCAAAATCTCTTTTTAATTTATTTTTCCCTCTGTGGACTGATCAAGATGGTCGGTGTCTAACTATAAGTATTACTTGTCATTGGGTAAAATAGTGTTTGTTACCAGAAAAATCACATTTATTTAATAACAGCACAATACCAGAATCAATATTTTAACTACTTTAAGTTAATCTTCAAAATAAAACCTCCATTCACGAATTTCTCACTCTGTCTTACCAAGCCTGATGATTACACCATTTTCTGGTTGGGTTTTTTATAAGTGAAAGTATTCACGGCTTTCCCAATTCTTGACGGAGTTCGAGGGCTCCATTTAGATGATATGGGGTGCTTCCATAACCTATACCTGACCGGAGCATACAATCTGAGTAATGCTTAGAGTAGTATAGGCTGCCTTACATTGGAATAACTTCCTCCACATCATACACCACACACAAAAGGACTGATACAGGTTTATCAAACATAAATTTAAGAATAATACGAAATCGCCATGAATTCCAGCCCTGCGATTCTGTAACTCACTTTTCAAACTTACACAGCGGTTTTCGCATCGGCGGTCGCTCTCAAATCAGTCGTGAAGCAGTCATTTTATCATTTTGCATTCTGATAAACAATAAACTACAAGCTCCCACCTTTTCAGAATGCCAAATGATAAAATGACTGCTTCACGACTGATTTGAGAGCGACCGCCGATGCGAGTGCGAGATGTGAGTTCGAAAAGTGAGTTACAGAATCGCAGGGCTGGATATAATCTTTTTAACATCACTTATTTTATGTAAGATCGATTTTATACATTCACAATATTACTGATAGGATTGTTTATAAGTAAAACAGTTTTACTTTGTTAAATTTTGAAAAGGGTCCTAATCTACACCGAATTTAACAAGATATAAGAGAACTGCTTTATTACCTTTCCCTCGTTATAATTATTTAAGCTTAATTACATGAGGTTAACCTTTTGGGTGCTTAATTTATTTCACGTAGGCATTATTTTATTACTTAATGCGATTAACGAACATTTTATATCCATTTGAATAACTTTATGAAATAGTTTTATTAGGAATTAATGATTTATTTACATACATATATAAACGAAAGCACTTAGACAATAAACAAAGCTACTACTAACAGTTTAGAACCAATTCTTAAAAGGCCGGCAACGCACTCGCGAGCCATCTGGCATTGAAAGTAACCATGGGCGGCAGTATCACTTAATATTAGGTGAGCCTCCTGCCCCTTGTTCTATAAAAAATACTTTTAGCAATCATTAAACTGGGTTTTTAACGCTTCCTTAACTTTAGTATAACTTTTTTTTAATCTTTTATAATAGCTAGTTTTTTATGCTTTTGTTGTGCTTTGTGAGTAGACTGATGTAGGTTTGTAGATGAGTTTCTTATATTACTTTTACTTTTTTTGAACTATCAAACAAGTTTAGAACTTTAATAATAACTGTAATTAATATCTAGACAGCAAATGTCAGACATATTTTTAAGACACCGATTATCAAAAAATATTAATGATTACCACGTACATTATAACGTAATTAGTCACATACCTACGCTTGATTGGCGGAAACTAAGATTTAACACACAGAGAAGTAATATTTTTTTTAATGGCCTCACTGTCGAGTAACTCTCCTCTTCGATACAGGAGAAGTCCTATTTAACTGTAATACATTCCACTTAACATTTTTTTCAGTACTATGGAGTTGATGTAAATATGTATTTGCGTATGACTTATAAAAAATAAGCGAAGTAGAAAATATTCTTACCTCACAGAGACCGGATTCATCGCTTCATCGTACCTATAATGTGATGTTATACCTGAAATAAATATTATTTATTAAACTTACATAATTATCATTTATCAAACTTACTTAATTTTTATTTATTAAACTTACTTAATTTTTATTTATTAAACTTACTTAATTATTGTTTATTAAACTTACTTAATTACTATTTATTAAACTTACTTGATTATTATTTATTTAAATCACATAATTATTACTTATTAAACTCAGCCGGTTTATCATAATTCTTAAATGTATTTAGCAACTGCTTTTAAGTGAGCAGGTGACCACCACAAAAGGTGTAAAATATAAAGAATCTTTACAAAATTCAGCTGGACCATGACCACACGAACGGATGGAGGCATAGATTGCCCAGAACTTCTTAGTCACATTAAGCTTTCTGTGTTTATTTATTTAATTTGTTTTGTTGCTTAGTTAAATAATACTTTACATTACAATACAATAACCCACATTATAAGTATTAATAAGATGATGATTCTCCCTCCCTACTGGTTTAAAAAAACTATGTTACGGCAGGAAGGTTTGTTGATGTACCCAAAACTCTTAGACGAAAATCAAGGCTGCTTTCTTTGGTTATCGTCAAGTTTTTTTTGTCCAGAATTTAAAGCAATACAAAGACATAATTTATTTTTTTACTAAATACTTTTTTTACAGAATAATATTATAATATGTTTTAAAATAAAATAAGATAAAATAGCAGTCTTTTTATGAGTTTTTAAGTTTTTTTTTATTTGCACTAGGCTATCTAATATCTGATTAGGTATCATTTAAACAAAGGCCTTCTATAAACATAATATAATTATAAATATGTAGTCACAGACACTCACACATACGCACACACAGGCACAGGCACATGTGCATTTACTTACACTTTCTTTGAATTTTATTTAAAATTAAATTTGAAGTAAACTTATAAGTAAAAATTTAATAACAAACTCATGTATCTAGACAACTATATGCAATTCAATTCACCGAAGAACCTCGACAAAAGTCGCACAAAGTGTACGGGTCGTTAAAACTTTGACAATTACGCAAAGTTACACCTAGCGCCCTCCTAGAGTTATATTGTCGTCTGTTTTGCACAACTCTAGTGCTCTTTGTAACACTTGTGCGTACAGTGAAAATGGATTACGACATGTTTTGCTTGCGACTTCGGTAATTTATATTTTACAACAATATGTAGATTTAAACCGTAGTATACTGAAGTTTGAAAAAACTTTATTATATATAACAAAAAGGACGTTAGTTACAAAAAAAGTGAACAAGCCCCCTCAACAGGATTATCTGTGTCAAGGGCAGCAAGTTTCTTCCATTTGACATGTTAAACGAAATTATAACGACAAGTCCACTACTTGATGTCATAATTTCTACATAATACTTATACTTAAACTATTACACGATAAAAATATTTTCCGGTGTAGCATAGGACAGGTGAAGATGTTATTGTCTTTTATTGATATAACTTTTACACATTTAAAGAAAACACTTCACGGTGACCACGCACGCTGTAAACGCGAAACGTCGGAAAAATTAAAAATTATGCAAAATAATTGTAAATTTATAATAATACATAACTTCAATCCGGTGGTGCTTGCGTCCAAAAAAGTCTGCATATTGCTATTAAGTATAGTAGTCTGACTGTTAAAAGATTTCGAATTTGTGTATACAAAAATTTATTTATAAATAATTATCTATGTTTTAAATTGTTTACCATAAAATAACTTATGTAACAGTATTTTCAACGCTATTAAAACATAAAAAGATCTGGAATAAATCAGACTTAATGGACACTACATCTTATATATAAAATTCTCGTGTTCCCATAAAGTTCGTTCCCATACTCCTCTGAAACCGCTAGACCGATTCTTATGAAAGTTTTTTGTGCATATTCAGTAAGTCTGAGAATCGGCTACTATCTATCATTCAAACCCCTAAATGTTAAGAGTGGTCCACCCCTAAATTTTTATTTCTATTTAGATACAATTTTATGTTTTAATTTTTTTATAATGTATAATATAAAAATACATAAAACCCTAAATTTTCACCCTCTACAATCAACACCTATTTTTCATTTGTTAATTAAAATCTTATGGCTTGAACTGGCTGGCTGGCGTGGCTGAGGTATAAGAGAAAAATTCACAGAAAACCCTCAAAAGTTTTCATTCCAGAAAACCGAACAGTCTCTAGGGAAGCATAGCATAATGTTCCATGCTGGTATGTACTAAAACGGTAGGCTAAGTAATATCACATTAAGAAGAAACGAAGTTCGCGGGGGCAGCTAGTAAACATTTGTTTTTGACGACAGACTCTTAGAGACGTTATTTACGATAAAGTAGAAGTCATATTTGACTTATTTAGTTTTTATAAAGAAAGCTGAAAACATGATATTCAACATGGATAATACAAATCCATTACG